GAAACCGGGGGCGCAGGAGAGAGAGAGAGAGAGGGGGGGCGCTTCGAGAAAGCTTCCCGAACCTTGCCAAGTGAAACACCTAAGAACCCCTAAGATTTCTGAATGGTGCTGAAATCATTTGGGGCCTCTGTGAAGCTCATTCTACCCACTCCTCACCTTTCTCTGATTACGCACTGATGGAAACCTCTAAAACCGGAGCAACTCTTGAAAGCAACTTACTCTGGAACCAACCAACTATAGGATGACCCAGACAAACTGAACAGCAGCGCTGCAGTGTTTTTGGGCCTGTGGAGCATACAGCTCTTTTGGTGCGGGAGCTCTGGCCTGTCACAGCCACCACTTCCTCCGGAGACGCGCTGCTTGCGTGCGAGTCGGTCAGCCCTTAGATCGCGAAGGGTCTGGCTTTGCACCTATCTCCCCAGCTCGTCGATGGGTTTCGGGCGCTGCTCATTGGAGGTTTACTCCTTTGAGGACTCCATGTTCTGAAAAATGGGAGGACATCGACTCGCCAAAGTGAAGAGAGACAAAACCCCACAAACACCTAAAACTGTTTTTTGGGACCCTTTTCGGGGGTCCACTTGAACTCGCCCAGGTCCATATGCCCAACAGGCCGTGCTTTGGGCCCTTGGTCGAAGATGAAACAACCGGGCCCCTTTGTGTAGAAGCTCCTGCAGGAACCTCCAATAATTAGGTAATTAGGTTTCGGCACGTTTGCCTGACAGGTCCCAGGTCCAGGTCCAGGTCCAGGTCCAGGTCCAGGTCCAGGTCCAGGTCCAGGTCCACCCTACCCCACCCCGAACCCACCCCACCCCACCCCACCCCACCCCACCCCCACCATCCCCCGCAGGTGGTCAGAGGCTTTGGCGCTCACTGCCCACATGGCCTCCGCCTCCGTCCGCGCGGACGTGGTGACGCTGAACTCCGCCGCGCGGCGCTTGCGCTGCAGGTGGCGCCAGGCCGTGCACCAGGCGAGCGATTTGGAGCGTCGGGGAGTTGTCCGGTGCGAAATAGGGATCGGATGCGGTTTCACGGTGTCCCGGTTTCCGTTTTGTTCCCCCTCAATATACGTATGTATGTGTATATATATATATATATATATATTTGTACTGGTGCCATGAAAAACGACACGCCCCAAAGAGGAGCTAAACATATGTGCTGGTTTACTCCTACAATCATGACCACACGTGTGCTTGAACTACCCCAAAGCCCTAGTTTCTAATTGTTTCTGTGCTGAAATGACATGATTCTCTTAATGAGCTTGACCCAATTTGGTTTCAACGTCTTGCACAACCCATTCGAATTACGCCCTTACAGTGGTGCCTTTGTGTCAATCTTTTGGAGAGGGTCCCCTCAAGATGAGCTTTCTGTGCCTGTTGGGATGTTCCACTCATCAACTTGTCCCAGACCTCCAGGGCCATCGATTCCTGTTTATGGAGGGTTTTCCTGACATAAATGAAGCTTCCCAATGGACTTTTTGGGCCAATCCGCAAAGGTTCCTCCGAACCTTTGGCTAGGGTGGGTGCAAAGGGCTTCCTTTGGTTTCCCCCCAACCAACTTTCTACCCTTCGGAGGGGGACAGGGGGAGCAACCCACAACCCACGTCCTATGTTTTTGTTTCGTCTACAACTCCTCAGCTATGGGGATGCCCAACTACCGGAGTTCATGTCCGTGTTTCTACCCTTCGGAGGTAGGGGAGCAACCCACGGAGGCCGGAAGGAAAAGCTCGAAGCCGTCAGGTCGAAGTGCTTTCGCCCGGAATTCGCATGAACGTGATCTCCTACAACTCCCTGGTCAGCAGCTTGGCGAGATCTTGAACCCTGGCTTGTTGGCTTAATGTGTATTTTTTCCACTGCAAAACTAAAGCCCTAGGCTTCAAGATTTAGATGAATTGCTGCTCCTTAAGTAAGCAACGGTGGTTGTATTCCCCCCCCCCGCCCAGTGCTTCAAGGGTTTGAAGCCCAGGGTGGATTTTTTGCGCGGAGGCAACTGTTTGGAGTGGCAGCTGCCGCTGCATCTGCTCCACACCATGCGCCGAACGACCTGCCCCGGCAACTTGCGGCCCGGATCGATCCCGATGCGGGAGCTCCGTGTTGAGAGGGCGCCCAACATGGGTCTTCTTACCAGAACTGGTTTGCCAGAATCGAGGGTACCCCTCAAAACACCGAGTGTTGTTTACTGAAGGTCTGGGATCCGTCAACTTGCTGAGTTGTTGTTAACCATGTAAGTTTGTTGTTTTCAGTGTCCAGAGGTCTGTTGAAAACCCTTTGGAAGACACTCCAGACAAGGGATAGCAAGCCCATGAGGGGCCAAGCCCAATAAACCTGGGGTTGCTGGAGGATTCGTGTTAAGCTGTCAATTTTATGGCCCTTCCAGGTAGGGGGGGGGTTGCCAAGAAAACATACAAACCCACCCAAGTTGTTTCTTTGTCAACTTCTTTTGGGGGGACTTTTTTTGAAGACAACCACCCCCCCAAAAGTGGGCGCCAGTTTTTTTGTTCCCAGGGCAATCCACTGGTGCCTCGGCTGAGGTTGAGCTTCAACTCAGCCATGCGGCACTGCGAGTGGCAGCGCGCTCTCGGCCTCGTGCGCGACGCGCCGGAAGCGCCGGATGTGGTGTCCTGCAGCACCGTCGCCAGCAGGCGAGAGCCGTTGAGCCGCGAATTCTTGGCGTCGGTTCTTTCGGGTCTCAGAAACGACTTATTTCGGTGATTCGGGGTGAGGAGATGGGCCATGGAGGTTGCATACCACTAGCAAATTGGACTGGCCTCCCGGGTTCCTGGACTTTAATGATCATGTGGAAAGACCAGGTAAATAAATAGTTTGGATTTGTTTGGGGTCATTTATTCGGGAAGTGAGTGGAGGTGTCCACTGACCGAGTTGAAGAATTTGCATGTGGTTCACCATCAAAAGCGGACCAACAGCTTGTTGTTCAAAGAGAGCTTGCCACATGCCGGCAACTCGGAAGTTGCCAGTTGTTCAGTGCATTCCGCCCTTCAAACCACAGCGTGGTAGGTCCCAATGGAATTCACCCCAAGGGTTCCGATTCCTTTCCCAGCCCTCGAAGTCCCGTCCCCCGTTTGCCCAGTCCAGCTTCAAGTCCCCTACCCAATCCAAGCCAACAGTTAAGGGTAAGGTCAGCTTGGTCGCGTTGTCGTACCTGTGAATGTTTTAACATGTTGGACAATGACTGTTTTCCTAGGAAAGCAACATAGAGCCAGTGACAACTACAGTTTCTTTTCTTCTCTCTTTCTCTTTTTTCTCTCTTTGTCTCTGCGTCTCTGTATCTTTATCTTCCTCTTTCTCTTCCTCTTTGTATTTATCTTTTTCTCTTTCTCTTTCTCCCTTTCTCTTTTGTACTTTCTCTTTATCTTTATCTTTTTCTTTCTCTCTTTCTCTGGTTCTCTCTTTCTCTCTTTCTCTCTCTTTCTCTTTCTCTCTCTTTCTCTCTTTCTCTCTTTATCTCTTTCTCTCTTTATCTCTTTATCTCTTTCTCTCTTTCTCTCTTTCTCTCTTTCTCTCTCTTTCTCTCTTTCTCTCTGAATCTCTTTCTCTCTTTCTCTCTTTCTCTCTTTCTCTCTCTCTCTCTCTTTCTCTCTTTCTCTCTTTTTCTCTTGCTCTTGTTTCTGTATCTTCTCTCTTTCTCTCTTTCTATCTTTCTCTCTTTCTCTCTTTCTCTCTTTCTCTCTTTCTCTCTTTCTCTCTCTCTCTCTCTCTTTCTCTCTTTCTCTCTTTATATCTTTCTCTCTTTCTCTATTTATCTCTTTCTCTCTTTCTCTCTTTCTCTCTTTCTCTCCTTCTCTCCTTCTCTCCTTTTCTCTTTCTCTCGTTATTCTTGTCTTTCCCTTGTTGTTTTTTTTCTTGTTCTCTTTTTCCCTCTTCCTTTCTTTCTCTCTGTCTCTCTCTCTCTCTCTCTCTTTCTCTTTCTCTGCTTCTTTATTTTCCTTTTTCTGTTTTGTTATCTTTATATGTTTCTCTTTCTCTCTGTCTCCCTTTCTCTTTGTCTTTTCTGTCTCTCTTTCTCTTTCTCTTCCTCTTGTTATTTCTCTGTTTATCTTTGTGTTTTTCTCTTTCTCTTTGTATCTTTCTTTTCTGTTTTTCCTTTCTCTTTATTTTTCTCTTTCTCTTTATTTTCCTCTTTCTCTCTTTTTCTCTTTCTTTTGTTTTCTCTTTCTCTTTCTCTTTATCTTTCTCTTTCTCTTTCTCTTTATCTTTCTCTTTCTCTTTCTCTTTCTCTCGCTCTCTCTCTCTCTCTCTCTCTCTCTTTCTTCCGTTTTCTCTCTTTATCCTTATCTTATCTTTCTCTCTTTATCTCTTTCTCTCTTTATCTCTTTATCTCTTTCTCTCTTTCTCTCTTTCTCTCATTCTTTCTTTCTCTCTCTTTCTCTCTTTCTCTCTTTCTCTCTGAATCTCTTTCTCTCTTTCTCTCTTTCTCTCTGAATCTCTTTCTCTCTTTCTCTCTCTCTCTCTCTTTCTCTCTTTCTCTCTTTATATCTTTCTCTCTTTCTCTCTTTCTGTATTTATCTCTTTCTCTCTTTCTCTCTTTCTCTCTTTCTCTCCTTTTCTCTTTCTCTCGTTCTTCTTGTCTTTCCCTTGTTATTTTTTCTTGTTCTCTTTTTCCCTCTTCCTTTCTTTCTCTCTGTCTCTCTCTCTCTCTCTTTCTCTTTCTCTGCTTCTTTATTTTCCTTTTTCTGTTTTGTTATCTTTATATGTTTCTCTTTCTCTCTGTCTCCCTTTCTCTTTGTCTTTTCTGTCTCTCTTTCTCTTTCTCTTCCTGTTGTTATTTCTCTGTATATCTTTGTGTTTTTCTCTTTCTCTTTGTATCTTTCTTTTCTGTTTTTCCTTTCTCATTTTTTTTCTCTTTCTCTTTTTTTTCCTCTTTCTCTCTTTTTTTATTTCTTTTGTTTTCTCTTTCTCTTTCTCTTTATCTTTCTCTTTCTCTTTCTCTTTCTCTTTCTCTCGCTCTCTCTCTCTCTCTCTCTCTCTCTCTCTTTCTTCCGTTTTCTCTCTTTATCCTTATCTTCTCTTTCTCTCTTTCTCTCATTCTTTGCTCTCTCCCTCTCTCTTTCTCTTTCTCTTGCTCTGTCTCGTGCTTTCTTTCTTTCATTCTTGCTTGCTCTTTTTTCTTCCGTCTCTCCCCCTTGTTCTTTGTCGTTTTCTCTTTTCCTTCCTCTTTCTCTCTTTCTCCTTGTCTTTTTCTCTTTCTCTTTCTCTTTAATTGACGCAATTCAATCCTTGTGAAACCTTCGCGTTGCCGTGCTACTGGGCCGTTTGCCGAGACCGCGCCGAGAGCGTGCCAGACAGGCGTCGGGACAGGTGGCTGGCATTGACGCAGACCCGCCAAAACGCGCAGAGGGTCACTCTTTTCGCGATGTCTATTCCCCCTGCCACAAACCTATAATACAGCACCTCGCGAAAGTGCAGCGCCTGGCAGGAAATCTGCACATCACCGTGCGGAAGTGCTGCGCCTGCCGCGAAATCTGTACCTGGCCTTGCGAAAGTGCTGCGCCTGCCACGCAATTCAATCCGTGCGTCAATACAGGGGCGGCTGACATTGACGCGGACCCGCCAAGAAGCGCAGCGGGTTACTTTCTTTGCAATTTCTGCACGCCATGCTTGTTTTTTTGCACACGCTCATTCTTTCTTCATCTTATCTGTGCGCCAGCTATCTGCACACGTTTTTTTTTTTTTTTTTTTTTTCCGCATAGGTCATCTGATCTTCTGTGAGCTATCTGCAAGATCTATCTTTTTGCATACGCTATCCGATCTTCTAAGGCTATTTATTTGCGCAAGCAGCCTTTGAATTAGTATCCGTACTACGGAAGTTTCTTCTAAACTTCCTTTGATCAACATATTATGTAATTAGTTTGTTTGGGCAAGCCAGCTAGCATCAGCAAGCCGAAACGCGTTGTCCAGTGGTTCCTTCTTGTCAGTGAAAGGGGTGGGAGCTCCAAAAAATCAATCGATGTGCTGATGCTCTTCTTGCGTCATTTGGTAGTAAGACAGGGGCTTCCTCCCCTTGCTTCTTTGGGAGTCGTGCTGGGGCTATGCCGAAGTAATCCGGTTTCAAGGACATCTTTGCAAAGCTTTCCACGACCCCCAAACCCGATTTTGCAAGGGCAGATGGGTGGCATAAAGGGCACATGCCAATCATTTTTCTTTGGATGCCTTTTGGGGATCCGAAGCCCGAAACACCCGGTGGTTTGGATATGCGCGCGCGATTCCCTCAGCTGAAATTCACCCCGAAAATCCGAGTGAGAACCTCGATGAGAACCCTTTCTCTCTCTACATCGATTGGCAGAAAAGAAAGTGCCAGTGTGCCCTTTTCCTATGGCCTGAGGGCTTTCCTGAAGAGGAGTCAGTGAAGCCAACGTATTGCAAAAGACGCCTTGCCAGGCTGGGTGACCGCTGGCAGCGCGGAATCATGTTGCTGGAGGCGGGCTTGGCCAACTTTTTCAGGTCAGGTGTACTCCAGTTGCTCACCACCCCTCTCCATTTTTCTTCCGAAGAACTGGGTCCGGGCAGGGTTTCCAAGCTGAACCACGTATCTTCAAAGAGGGACCGCCCCATGTTCTACCCGGTCCCTGGCCGTGATACGTGAATGTCAGGCAGCTCACAGCAGCCACGTGCAGCTGAACATTTTCGCATACAATGCCTTGAGCAGCCAGTGGCAGCAGGCGCGTCGGGTCTGGGGTCAAGTTTTTTTTTTCTGGAAGCAGGCTTGGGTGTCACTTGGGCAATGTTGACTGTGGATCCAAAAGTGGATCATGTCCTTACTAAAAGGGGAACCATCCCTGCTTAGTACGATGTTGGATTTATCCGAAGCCACCATTATGCCTAGACGGCGGCCCCCGTGTTTACAGGGAAGCCACAAAATAACGGTCTCTTTTGAGAAACAGACTGGTTTCGACAACTAGTTTCATTTCGGATGCTAACCTGCGAAGCGGTCCCCTGAATAGACACCATGGACACCCGTTCGCCGGCTGCGCTTCAAGCTGCCACCCAAGTCCTCGCAGCAACCTTTTGAGGTTTGGTCTTGTTCCGGATTGCTGGTTGATTTGGATGGGGGGCTTCATTCAGGAATCCGGATCACTTTGTTTGTGACGCGTCCATATTAGTACCTCGAGTGTTTTTTTTTTTGTATTTTTGGACATGGCCTCTGGTGTTTGGGTGTAGGATGGTTGCTACGATCGGGGGGTTCTCATGTGGCACGCTTCAACCCGCTTTGTAGGTGTCAGACCTCTTGAAGCGCTTGCCCGCGCGAGAGCTGCGCCCAGACGTGGTGACCTACTCCCTGCTCGCGACATCCGCGTGGGCTTGGTCTTGGGAGGCGACTTACGGGATGGGAGGGTTGCAAGGCCCGTCCGATCGATCGATCGCGCGAGCGCGCGCTCGTTGCTTCAGGTTCTGCAGAAGATGCGTCGCCAGCAGGTGGCACCAGCGCCGCGGTTTCGAGAAGCCGAGTGTGGGGTGTCCAGGCTTGGCTCAGGATTGGTTTGGCTGGGTTTAGCTTATAGGATGTTTGTTTAGGGCGGGTTTAGGGTGGGTTGGAAAAGGGTTTGCTTCGGGGTGGGTTTGGGTCTGCGGGTGTGTGGGTGTGTGTCCCACAGTATAGGGCCCCCCCTCAAAAAAGAGGATGGTGGACCTTCAGTTTCTTTTTGAACTAGCCCGAAGCACATTGGAAAACGAGATGCCCAAACAGAGGGACCCCCCAAAACTTCCCTTTTATGCCCTCAAAACTGGTCATTGGATTCCACCTTGTTTCTGGGTATGCTTGCCCCGCGAAGGTCGCTTACTCCCCAACAGTTGAATCGCTGTAATGTCGACTCTGCCGTCATCGAACTGGCAGACAAGGCGGTGACGCCCCCACAAAAGAAGGTTCCCGCCGCCCGGAGGGTTTTGTGGCAGTGAAAAAGCGATGAACCGTGGCACCAGATTTTTTGGGGTAGGCGTTGGCACCCCAAGCCCCCATTCCGTCGGCCCAGCCGAGGATGGCGCGGTCTTCCGTGTGCTGAGCTTCGCGTGGCAAAGCGCCACAGCTGTGCTGGTGGAGATGCGGCGGGCCACGCTGGAGGCGTCCCGGGCGTCTTTCGCCTGTGGTTTCTTGTTTTTTTGGTGGCTCCCAGCCATTCCCGAGCTCCCTTTTAGCCTTTTAGCGTTCAGTGGCAGTTCCATTTCGCCCACCAAAAATGAAATGGTGTTTTTTTGTTTTTGTTTTTGTTTTTCAGGGTGGGTGGCTTTTTGGCTTTTGTGGCTTTCACGGGTTTATGTGGCGTTTGTGGCTTTTCATTTCGTATCCTCTGCATTCACAGTTCCTCTCTGTTTGGCTTTTGCGGCTTTGGCTTTTTCGCATCCTCAGCATCACCAGTTCCTCTTTGGTGCCCCTCGCCACCCCCCTTGCCCCTTGCGATTAAAATGCACCCCTAGCTGAATCATCACTTTTTCGATCATCATGGAGGGGGCTTCCTCCTCGTGTGCAGTTCTTCGAACATCATGGGGGGGCTGCCGTAACCCCCTGACACACCAAGGTGCTACTCGCCCCACAACCCTCGGTACGCCTCCAATTGAATCATCACTTTTTCGATCATCGTGGGGGGGCTGCCGCCCCCCCCCAACCCCCTCGCTACATGTTTTGCCCCTAATTCAATCATCACTCCCCCGATCATCATGGGGGGAGGCCGCCCCTCCCCCCCCCGGCTATTTTCTAGATGTTTTGCCCCTAATTCAAGCATCACATCCGATCATCATGGGGGGGGGCCCGAACCCCCCGCTACTTTTTAGATTTGTTGCCCCTACTTCAATCATCACTCCCCCGGTCATCATGGGTGGGCTGCCAGAGGTCTTGGCATACGGTAGCACCAGGCAGGCGTCGCTCCATAATGCCTGAAAGATGCTTAGCCAGATGAGGCGGATGAGGCAAGATGTGGCAAAACGAATCCCGAGCTCAAAAAAACAACAACCTCATCCGCAGCTAGCCCAAGTTTTCCCATTATCTCCTTCGAGTTGCTTTGGACCACAACCTGCTGGTGATGCTAAGGATGTTGGTGTGACACGACTTGCCCCTGTTTCTTTTTGGATCTTTTGCCCCTTGTGGGGGGAGTTGCTGGTGTTGCTGGGGATGTTGGCTGGACATGCGGTGGATGTTGAAAACGAATGGTGATGATGTTGACGGGCTAGTGAAATACGTACATTTCGTGAGAAAATGCTGTAAAGTACAGCATTCTACTAGCCAAGACGGAAAACAAATCCCCCCCAAACAAATAAATAAAATTAAAATTGGGGGATCTGAGGGCAGCCCGCCTGGTGAAACCAGCTCAGATATTTGCTGAACAAATGCCCTGCTCAGGTTTAGGCTTTGGTTGGTTGAACAAGAGACCAAATCGACAATCGCAAGTTTTGGGTAGGTCCCACCCAATTGTTTGGGATCTTTGGCATAATTTTTGCAGCAAACGCCCCACCCCACCCCCCGCCCCCAACGTTCCTGGGGCGCTTTTTTGACAAGGCTTTGTCCCAGACCTCGTTTTTTTAGTTTTGTTGGAGGGTCCCTGTAAGGTCAATTGCTGATGGCTACGCCTTAAAATGTATAAACAACCCGGCACCCGCCAGTTCCAATATGTTGTTTTAAATACAAACAACGCATAGCAATAAACGACGCAAAGCACGTTCTGTTTTTGACAGGGACACAGAAGGGCGGATCAGATTTGCCTTTTTGGCCAATTGAGCAGCGTTCAAAAACCCCGTTGAAAGAAGTAAGAAGTAAAGGTGTTGTCCTGCAAGTTGCTGCGCGAAAGGAAAACACAGGGCATCACAGGGCTTCGAAAGCTCCACCAGAGGGATGTTCGCGAAAGGGACAAAGGCCGATTTTGAACACTGGGTTGCTGAACCGTCCGCGAAAGCTCCGCGAAAGGGTTTCTTGGCCCCGCGAAAGGAAAACTGGGAGTGCGCAAGATTCGCGAAGGCAGACGTGAAACTTAACATCGCAGAACTTAGGTTTAGACCACCGCCCAATTTAGTTTGACACATCAGTCCTACCAGTTTGACAGGACTGATAGTGAGGGTTCGCATACCTTTGTAAAGCACACACTTCCCCAAGCACTTGGGGCGTATGAGGCATGTTAGGCTTCAACCGAGGCTAAGGAACACACCCCGACCAAACATTGAGCTTCTTTTCCGAAAAAGATGTGTTGTTGGCCGGTGCAAAGAAATCATGTTAGGGGCGTGGGGGGAGGGGGGGCTGTCCCAGTTGAGGTTGGGGACGGCCATTCCTCGTGGTTATGTCCTATTGTGTTCCTCTTGGATACCATCCAAACGGGGATGCCTACCTTAGATTTGCAGCGGCCCGGAAAGAGGAGCGGCAACCTTTTCATTTACGCATTCAAAGTTTTGCCAGTTGTCTCGAACCAGTGATCAGTGGCTTTGAAGACAACATAAACACCCAAATGAACCAACGCTGGCGATGGCCTTCGAAACAACGTGTCATCATGTCCTCAAACCTTTCAGATCGTGGCTGTTGCACCATTGGTTGGAACCATGGCTGTTTGCGGTTCGCACATTCTCTGTAAAGGGAGAGCGAAAAAGGCATCTCCCAAAACGAAGATCGGACACCGCGGCGTTTGCATCACAGCCAGCGTCCCGGGCGATCGGAAGGCCAGCGGGTCTCCGACCTTGGGCGCTTGGCACACGGCGATAGGCGTGGAAATCCCAGACTCAACCCCTTTCTTCTGCCGACTCGTGTCACCCACCCTCCCTCCCCCCACCAAGAAAAGGAAAGGCTTTTTCCAACGTTTGAAAGCTACGGGGTCTTTGCCCAGATCAGCTCCAGACTGCAACTCGCAGGTTCTGAGGGTCCAGGGGTTGTTAGATTGTGGGTTTTCCACCGCTTCTTCCCCCGAACTGGGTTCCCACGCAACCCAAAAAAATGATGCCCTCACATGCTTCACCTGAAAATCTGGCCGGGCGGCGATTTCTTCGGGACAGGTGAGTGGGAAGCACTCAAACCACCCCCATACACTCAATGTATGCAACATATCTCGCATGTTCTCTTCAATCGGGTCAAATGTATTGAATCGTTGGTTTCCCAGCATGTTTGTTAGCGGTGCATTGACTGAAGCCCACTTGAGCAACGGTCGAATGATAGAAAACGGAGATGACGTTGGGTCCTGGGATTTCGGGGTTCTGACCTCATGCTCGCATGTCAGTTGGGACGTATGGAACTGAATTTTAGCTGGCCACCCCCGCCAAAAAGGAAAAAGACTATATTAATTAACTAAATAGTCGGTTTTTCTTGGTTTACCTTTAAGACAAACCCATATTAAACACTGACCGTGTCTGGTGGCTCATGCGCACCAAACCCCGACGCTGAGAGGTGACTGGCAAAGCGCACTACAGCTTTGGGACAGGCCTGACCGAATCCTGAGGTTCCCCAATCTACATTTGGGAGGGTGTCAATTCCTTTGGATCCCCATTTCCTCTTGGAAAAAAAACACGCAAAAGGACCACCGTGGTTGCCAGAAATGAGCTTTGCCCAGCGGAGGTCTGCTCGGTATGGAGATTGTGGCCCTCCGTTTTCTCAGAGTTAAAGCTCAATCAAGACAAGTGAGGGGCATGCGAGGCCAATCTAAATGGCTTTCTGCCTACAACTCACCTTGAAGCACAGGGTCCAGATCCTCTCTCCGTTTCCCATTGGCTGGACAAGAGACGCTTCAAGAGTTTGGGAATTTGCTGACCTGCAGGATGACACGGAGGTTGCTCAAACATCGCACACGCGCACCCCGCACACCCACACACCCACACATCCGCGCCAAGACCCACACACGCAAACACACAAATACAAACGTAGACTTGATAACTCCCCGCAGCCCATCTTGCCATGATGCCAAGCCACGCTCCACTCATGTTTCCTGACATGTCCCTGTGCAGGTCCCAAAGCTTATGGCAGACAAGCTGCGACTTGTTGGCTGCCTGTTTCCTTCCAGTTGGTCAAGTTGCCGAAGCATGCGGCAGACAACTGCGACTTGAACAAGGTCCGGCACTTGTTGTTGGTTGCTTGTTCCTTTAGCTGTTCAGGTCGCACCACAACTTGTTGCAAACAGACAGCGGTTCGAACAAAAACACACAGTCCAGCTCTTGTTGTTGGTTGCCTGTCCCCTTGACAGATAAACCGCTGCTTGAAACAAGCATAATCACTGGCCAAGTGGTCTAAGCAACAGCTTGCCAAGCAATCAAGGTTGCAGGTGCGCTGGGATGATCAGTCTCCGTATCACCGCTTATGGCAAGTGTCTTTGTTGGCAGGATTCTTGCCGTAGCGCTCCCGCCCTCTGCAAATACGCTACGTGAGCAACGTGAGCAGCAAGCCGAAAAATCAGCACGAATGCAGTTTGCACATGCGCGCGGTTGTCAGCACAGCACAAGTTTCTGGGCTGCCTGAGCATTGTTAGGACACTTCATTTCAAGTCACAAAGCAATCGGAAGGGCCGAGAAACACCTTTGAAAGCAAGTTTGACACACACACACACACACCCCACACCCACACACCCACCCACCCACCCACGCACCCACACTCCCACACTCCCGCGCACCAACCCACACACACAAACGCAAGCACACACACACACAAACCTGTCCAGGCACTCGCACGCGCGCACGCACGCGGGCACACACTTGGAAGGGCTGGCTATTAAAGCAAGTGGGTACATCGAATCCGCAAGGTAGTATGCTTTGTATGTACTACTTGCATGTTTGCTAAGATGTACCATAGAGATCATATTTCATGCAAGTACGCAACGTTGCTCAGGACGAATACTATGTTCACGCAGTAAACATACACACGTCGGTGCATGAGCGTTAAATCTGTAGCGTACGTAGTATGTACACGTCCGCGTAACTTACAGAAGTTGCTACGTGGCGGCGGCCGAGATAGTGACATGGCAATGTTATACTTAGCAAAGCTCGCTAAGTAGAACACAGCGTGCGCAGACGGAAGTGTTCTTTTTGTAGGCCCGCCTCGCAAGCAGATCGCCCAGCCATGACGACAGCGCACGCTCGTAGTTCAGGCCACACCTGCTGCTTCCCTTGCCTGCAACACGCGCACCAACACTAACCCGCGCGAGGGCAATCCAAAACCCCCAGAGAGCAGTGTAGTTTTTGTAGAGGACTTACAACAGACCGCTTGAATCAACATGCCGTTTTAGCTTGGTTCCTGGCACACAACCAGCTTTTCCTTCGTCATCGCCTGTGGCCAAACAGGCCTCTGTGGCAAAACCGTAGGTTGTCCATGCGCGGGCGGCTTGTTCCCCCCCATTGCGTGAGGTGGCAAGTCGCGAGCATGCCTGTTGCATGGCAAGGCACGCATGCTTCACAGCGTCTCCGCCGCGCGCAACAGGGCCTTCTCATGTCAGACCGCGTAGCGCAGAGTGTTGCAGATCACCCAGGCTTTGAAGTCTTCGATCTTCGATCTAGCGCGCGTCGGCTGGGTTTCTGGCCGGTGCCACGCCTGGGCTGCGCAAAGGACGCGCATCCAGCAGTTCAACTCTGACCTGTTTGAGAGCATGCAGGGCGCGCTCGTGCAGGTGGATGCGAAGAAGTTGAAGGTGGCTTCCTTGGCTGGAAGCCACACGAGCTGTGTTCCCCGGTGCTTGCAGCAAGAAGTGCACCACTCCAACCTGCTGGTGGCTGCCGACTGGAAGCTGAGCTTCGTCAAGCTGAAGCGCCGAGACGCAAGCTTTCATGGTGCCGCAACGGCTGCTGGAGAGGTGACGCAGTTGAACACTGCGGAGCAAGCCTTGAGATGCGGCGCTGCCAGCTAGCCAATTTTTAAAGGGGCCTAATGCCAATTTCCAACTTCTTTGGATCCTGGTTGGCACTGCGGATTTCACCGGGGCAAAAAGAAAGTACCTTTGTCTGCGTGTCTACAGGCGACATTCCTCTCAGTCTTTTCAATGCGGGCTGGCAGTTTTGCAACCTGAGCGACACATTTGACCTCACTTGCTCACGCGTGATGGCCAAGAGCGCGTCCTGCCAGTGCAGAATCCAACAGTGTAGATTTTGACCCACCCACCCCCGCCCGCCCGCGTGAACGCGCGTGCACCCTAAGGGGAAGACAAACATAGACCAAAGCTGCAGATGTGCTTCGGGCGCGGCGTGCTAGCTGTTTGGGAGGTGGCAGAGCATTTTATGATAGCTCAACCTTTTTTGAGGATTGTTTTGAACCGTTCATAAAGAGCTACTGCAAGCGGCGAGGCACTGCACCATCTTGTGTTCAGGCTTTGGGTGTTTCGGGGCATGCTTGCTGACACTTTTTGGGGAAAAGTGAGGCTGTCGAAGCCCTCTTTGGGGCAGGCTCTCAGCCGCAAAGAAGCCACTTGAAACTCATGAGTTTCAACGAGGAGCCTCTCCCAAATGGTTGGTGGACAGAAGACCCCACCAAAGTAACATTGATCAACCCACATTTCTCCCCAAAGATGGAAGGGACGTGGGCAAAAGGCGAATGGTCGGTTCAACCAGATTCCCGCCCAGACCCTTCGTGAAACCAAACTCGCCAGGGAAATCCACCGGATGGTTGGCCAACGTCCTCCTTGACTCCTGAAAACCTTCCTATCGCAGGCTGCCCTTGGGCGGCGCCGTGGGCCCACGTGTGTGCTGGCCTCTTGCCGTGGCCGCGCGGGGGGGGGGACGAGTCGGGGCAGGGAGGATCGACTTTAGATGCGCGTTGTTGGTGTTGTTTCCGTGTTTCTGCCTTTGTTTCATTGTTTTTCGTGAATTGTTTATTTATTTCTTTGTTTGCTTATATTGGTTTGTAATTTTTGTTCTTCCTCCTTTGTGTTTATTTCTTGCCTTATTTGCTTATTGTTTGTTTCTTTGTTAGTTGTCTTTATTATTATTATTATCATTGATGTATTTATATGTTGTTTTATTTCATTGTGCGTTTGTTTTGTAAATCCGACGAGTGCACCTCGGTATCGAGTTGCGCAACAACACCCCGCATTGTCCATCCATGTTTGGCTTACCAAGTTCAGTGACTGCCAAGCGGCTCAGATCAAACTGTTTCAGGCGTCTTTGTGAAGAAACTCTTCTCAGCTGACGGAACTATACACGCATTGTATCTAGCCGTCAATCCTTGTTGCTCCAGTTTAGCCTTTGGCACGCATGAAAGTTTGCTGTAGCCTCCGTTGCTTCAGACTTCCCGCTGCTTTTGCAGGCGCGCTGAGCGTTCAGTTTTGCATCGTAATATCTTCGGAGCATCGATTGCACATCCCCAAAAAGCGGTGTTTGGGGGCAGTGGAGACCATCTTGGAAATACACTTCCCATACCACTTACGTATATGTCGGGTCAATTAAAAGTGAAGGGGGGCGAGGTGTTTTTTTGGATTCTGCACTGATTAGTAGGGTGGATTACAATGCTTGTTGTTGAAGCACAGACATGTATAGCCCCCTAGCCATTGTATCAAGGATACACACCAATCGTTCTCCAGGGTTTGTTGATGGGGCTGGATTGACCAAATCTAGTGCTGGCAACCAAGATGTTGTCCTTGTTTGTTAGGGTCCTCACGTCGTTTCTTGTCTCGGACTTTCACAATTTCGAAAGCTGCCTCGTTTGGAATGGCTTGTGCCTCTTCAATTGAGTAGCCAGGCGCTGTTGGCGACCCTGCTTGGGCCAGCTTGCCCTCTAGTTTCCTTTGGTTTTCCATTGTTTGTAGAAACGCTTTTGGTTGACCCTGTTACCCTCTAGGGTTGTTGTTGTTGTTTTCACTTGTCCAAGGGTTCTCGGAGTCTCAAAGCTTTACTGCAAGAATCATATTTGGTTTTTCAGCGGCCATCAGCTCAGCCAAACTACATGGCAGGTTTTTTTTTGTTTGCATCCCCTTTACCCACCCTGTGGTTCATTTTGGTACATCCACGCCCGGCAGCCGGCAGGCGCTGCTTGGCCAGCTGAGACAGCTTCGGCAAGAGCCGAGCGCCGATGGGCTCGTCCCCTGGCGCACAGCACTGGAGGCGAAGCTTCCGGGCCACGCCGCTACGGGCGTTCGGGTGGCCGACGAGAAGCCTGCCTAGGTCCCCCAGTAGTCCCCTTTTACCGTTTCTTTTTTGGGGGGAGGGTTCCCCTACTTCAAGAGACTACAGAAAAAAGGGTACCCTTACTCTATCCTCTCCACTGGAGGACCTAGCTGATCTAACATGGAAGCCGCCAGACAGCTTCTGCAAATGGAGCCAAGTCTTCCTTCAAATCCTGGGAGCTTCCATGTTCGGGAGAGGGTACCAGTTAGTCCATCGGAACCTGACCGGCTGTTCCGTGAAATTAACCCATCAATATTGGTGAGTAATCCTAAAAGGACTTGTAGCTGGCTTCATTGGGGCTTAAGTGGGATGGTGGCTTGGAGGTTTAAACCGGGTTCTTGTTGAAAACTGGCAAGGTATCCTGTTTGCCTTCAAGCCGCCAACCCAAACTACCAAAGGGGAAGGCTTACATTTGCCAGGAATTGGTAGCAAACCAAGGCTACCACTCTCCAAAAAGAAAGAGGAATCCCTACCCGAACCCCAATCGGGAACATGCGGGGTTAAGCTCCCACATACGTAGAGGGAACATGTATGCGTCCCTTTTGTTCACGGTGCGCACCCATTTGCCACTGAACTGCTGGCTTGCTGGCTCGAACTTTCAAGCTTTTTTGGACGATAAAGATGGAAGTTAAACTATCAAACTTCGAGCTACCGGTAGGTGTCCTTGTTTATTGCTTGGCGCCGCGAAGACCGAGCGAAGCTCTCGCGCCAGGCACCATCCCTCGCCCACGGCGCCTTGGGGTCCCTGGCGCGTGCGGGGCGCTGGCGCCGGGCGATCTCGGCGGTCGCGACGGAGGCGCCGAAGCGGGGGTCGCTTTTCGTTGGGAGCCTTCACTTTTGGTTGAATAGGAAGCAAGCGCTATGTTCTAATTCATGAACCCAGAATTGCTGTTTACTTCTCTCAGGACAAACCACAGGTTTCCGTACATCCCGAAAGGAAATCGCATGGAGGAAGCCGGAGGAATAATTAGGAAAGAAAAGCGTTTCCCTTTTTTTGTGGGTGTTGTCCCTCTGTATGTCAAGTTACGCCCCAACAGCCCCCCCCCCCTCAAAGTTGATTTCTCGACACATCGTTTTCTTGGGACTCCCTGTCAAACTGCGTGGGAGCGCCCGGCCACCCTGAAACCCGGGCTGTGCTTTGCGCAGGCGAAAGACGTGGCGAGCGTCAGCCTTGCCGTCAGCGCCTGTGAGCCCCTCGTGCGAGATGTTAAAATAAGAGACTTTGCGGTTCCTAGCCATACCCTTCGACCTGTTGGGCGGGGGGGGGGGTGTCCAAAATGTGGCCTGGTGCAGCTGTTAGGTGCCGCCGATTGAAAAGGGGATACTAAAGAGGACCCATAATTTGGACAAAGCCCCATGTCATGTGGGTGTGTCTTCATTGAGGGGTGCCCTTGTTGGACTGTTCTTTTGGAATTCGGAGGACACCAACCAGCTTTGGGCTCTTGAGCATTCGGATGCTGGGACTTTTGCAACAGGTGATCCGGACCCTCCCAATGCAGATCTCGTTTGACATGAGTTTGAATTTGTACGTGTGATGTGGGGGCTACTCTTCTCAGGTTGGTTTCAAGGGACACCAAATACGAGATTTAACTGGGGAACCGAATCTCTAATTTGACACAGGCACAGGCTCATGTTACGGCTCGCAAAATATGAACCAGAAATGTTTTTGGGTGGGGGCCAAAGCTGACGTTGTCCAGTTGCTCAATTTGAAAGGTGTTCTGTTTGGCGTTCAAGGTTATCTTTGGGTTGCTGTATTTCCCCTCATTGTAAGTTCTTGAACATCTCCTTTTGGGCAATACATGGATCCTACAGGCTACAGGTTATGTGTAATTCGCTCTTTGCAGTTTTCCCGCTTGCACCTGGGTTCCTTTGGGTGGTTGGTGTTTTGAGTTTGCAAACATCTGGGGAACCCGGCAATTGGGTGGGCACGGGAGTTGGGAGCCGCCCCTCCCCCCCCCCCCCCGCTTTTCGCGGGTTCCCATGCACCCTGTTTCTTGTTTTGTGATCTGAAGGAAGACCAAAGTGAAACCACCCATTTTCTTGCCACATTTTGATGGTTTTTGGGAAGACCAACCCAGGTTTTGAACGTTCACTTGGGACTTCTCGCTAGTCATTCTTCCCTTTATTGGATACAATGTGAGTGTTTCAAGTCTGTTGAAGTGAAGTTGGCGTTTTAGATTTGTCCAGGGTTCTTTGAATGAAGCGAGGTTTAGTTTTTTGCCATACGTTTAAGGCGTGCGTCCCGCTGGCCACCGGCGCTGCTGCTGCTGTCGCAGCCCTGCACCGCCAGCGCCTACAGTGCCGCAGCGCCTCGGAAGAAACTGGCGGGGTCAGAATACAAGGACCTCCACGGGGAAATGTAGATGTCAGAATTCCCTGTATGTCGGCAAGTAAGTGGATGACTAAATCAGCATGGGGGATGTGTGCTATCTACCTTTACGGAACTGTAACTCAGAATAATGGGGTTGTGGGGTACTTAGAAAGCAAACTTGAATTATAGAATAATCATGAAGCGATGCATGTTAGCCGTTTGAAACACGAAGCCTTTGCCACCAGGTCGAAAAGAGACGGGGCTATACTGGAATGTTCACCTACCGAGTAAGTGGGTTGAATATGGTTAAAATTGGGAGAACTGTGGCAACTTTTTGAATCATTCAGTAAGCGGATGGCTCGTCTGAGATCTATTTATGATCCTTTGGGATCAACCCGGGATGCCAGGACCCTGCCTTTGTCTAACGTTTCTTTATATAGAGGGTTCCCTCTGAGTTCTACGGAAACAAGGTGCGCTTTTTTCTGGTCATGGCCACAAGATCTTTGGGGGAGAAATCGTCACAACTGTAAAGCATGCTTTTTTCTATCACCTTCAGCAAATTCAAGCCCTTGCGACCCGGCACCGGGCGGGGGCAATCTGTCGTGACTCGTTTTTTGGGTTGAACCACAGCCTTCGGGCCAAGGTGGATTGAGTAGTTTGCTCTGGTAGGAAGATCTTGACAGGGGACACAGAAGAATCCCCGTGATGGGGGACGCGTTGCAACAGCATGTGCCCATCCAACACATACTTTAGACGAGCACGACAAGGGTTCCTCTGAAAGGCGTCATTACCACGGCCCACGCAATACGAAAGGCGTCATTACCACGGCCCACGCAATACGGTTTGACCGCAACGCATGTTGGAGCTTGCGGAAGCGGTCTTGGTAATTCTTTCGGCCCGCTCCTGCCGGACGTGAGGAACCACGACCTTAAACCTTTAAGTGTTGGATAGAAACACGTTTCGCTCACTAACCAACCATCCAACAAGATAAGAAGTGGAACTCATCGCTTGGGGGGCCAATCCGGTCTCTGGACAAGCCACGCTGCGGGCAGACTTCAATCACAGCAAGTCAGAGCTTTTGGGATGGGACGATGGCTTTATGGGTGTGTGTCAAAATAGGGTTAGCCCCCAAATGGGTGGTGTCCTGTTGGTTTCTATTTAGACCAAACCAAAACCCAGGTGCCCTTCAAACAGCACATCAATTTTCCTGATACGGCCGGGTCTCGTCTCCTCACCTGAACCAGGTAGCTTCCTTTTGCCCAGCTCAAAACCAGAAGGGCATCCCTAGCTTTTGGGAACCTCTTCAAGATTGGCTGTGTATGTGGACATAACTGAGCCTCCCCTCCCCCATCAAAAAAGTCTGCCTTTTGCTAATTTTGAAGATGACCCAACAAGGGTATTCTCAACAAGACACACCCACAAGAGGGTTGCGCACAAACCACTCTTCTAAAATAGGGAAGACCGCGCTCGCTGAACAGGGTCCAAAGAAGTGAGGACCCAGCAATGGGGCGACTTTCGGAGAAATCTCCCGTTTTGCCCCATTTTGGGGCTCCAAACTTTTGGCCTCCTCTGGCGAAAACGTCCAGCCCACGTCGCGACCGAGCTCCGAGGCGGTGGCTTTGGGGGGCGCTCGGGGCGCCTTGGGCGCCGAGTGGCAGCGGGCGGCCGCTCTGCTGAGCGCCATGGGCGCCAGGAACTTGCGGGCCACGGCGAGAAGCTGAGCGCACGGCGTTCCCCACCCTAACCCAAACCACGCTCCAAACCACCACTTAGAGGGAAGCAGACTTTCTTGAAGGCTGGCTTAAAAGGAAGCCAATATGGGAACCGGGACCCTAAATGGTTGGCTTCGTTTTTGGCTTTCAGCTACAAGACAGCCCACTAAAGATGCTTGGCTTACCCCAACAAAAAAGACACCTAGTTCAGCATATTCAGGGTCCCTTCAAAACATCCAAAGAGGGTGCCCTGAGCAAGAAACACCCCCATACGAAGACAAGTTTCAGTGAAAGAGGTGCTTGGCTGGCCCGACTCTGACCATGACCCATGGGTTCCACGAGTTTTGACGTTCGTGGCTTTGGCTCGAGGATTTGTGCCCGAGGCGGCCACATCACGCGGTGTGTTTCCGGCACTTTCTGTTTGTATTCAGCTTTCGCAGCCATGCGCGAGGCGATCTGCATTCACATTGGCCAGGAGCTTTGGTCGAGTTGAGCAGACCTTTATGATCATTTGTTACTTTGTTTTACTTCTTGTTCCAGACCACGTGTCCGTACATGTCAATCCTAGATGGGAAAAAGTTGCCCTCGGTGCCCTGGGTGTGAATCGATAGTCAACTTGCAAACCATGCGCCAGGGCGGCGTGCAAATTGGCAACGCTTGCTGGGAGCTGTTCTGCTTGGAGCATGGCATCCAACCTGATGGTCAGATGCCGTCCGACAAGACCATCGGCGGGGGAGATGACGCATCGAGCCTGATATGTGCAATTGTTGCGTTCGCTGACAGCTGTTCACCATGCATGGAACATACTAGATTGTTGGTTTCAACGTCAAGTTGTTGTCACACACTCACTCTCTCACTCAGAAACAAGGTTCTTGGCAGGGCCCTCAAAATCCTGATTTCACTTTGCGTGTCCAAGTCCAACAGACTCTTGCGGTGCTTGGCCCAAACATAGCCAAGACGAAGGTCGCTTAGAATTTGAGTAAGGCTAGCAGGGAGCCCAGAAATTGTTGGACCCAATAATTTGAGGCTTTGTATCGCTGATCGATTTGCTGTTTAGACCCGATCATGAGACGTTACGTATCGAACCCCGTACCCAGCAATTTTGGCACCTATTGGCTATGTCTGAAAACTGGGGGACACCCCAACATGGTGCCTTGTCCTCTAGACTCTAGTTTTCTGAAATCTGGAAAGGATTTGTGCCGCCTGCTCCGCGAGGTCATTTAGAAATTTTAAGTTTGCAGTAATTGCATCAAAAGTCGGGCAGGGCTGCAAAGACATCGGAGCAAAAGGCTTTTCCAGGGCAATTTGAGGATCGCGTGCTAGGCACCTCCAAGACAACTAAAGCATTACCCCGTGCCAAAGCGACTAAGCATTTTTTGCTAGCCATGGCGATCTTCTGGCAAGTTGCAGCGCGTCGCCGACCAAAATACAGGGTCGGCGGCCAGCAGGTGGGCAAAGTCTGCCAATGCAAAGGTTGGCGGCGGAGTTTGGCGGCGGATTCCTATTCGGCTGCGGCGGTGGGTTTCTGGTTTGGGGCCGGCCACGGATCCGGCAAAGAATGCGGCGAAAAACTGGGGAAGTTTTGTCATGAACAGACTCATACAGACTCCCTTCAAATGAAATTCCACAGGTTCTCCACCACAAACTTCACCGTGCTCCGTCGCCCCGCTCACGTAAAGCCTGGCGTAGTTTTCCACAGCCACAGATTCCTCTGCCAGACGCTGCGCGATTGAAAATCCACAGCTTTTTGCGCTTAGGCTTGCACAATCTAAGCTTCTTGTGGAAAGACCAGAGACAAGGGAGTGCTGCAGAAGGCCTTTACCCCAACCTGCGCGCTGGCAACGCTTTTTGTGCTGCAGCCCGGTAAGTTCGCATGACCGCCTTTGCGGCGGCATCCTTACTCATGATTTCGGCGCGCGCAAAGAGGAACTTGGAATGCTGGCCTGCGTTGGGCGGTTGGGCTGCGCTTCGGGTCTATGGCTTAGTTTCCCAACTACGTCTTGAAGTCCCACCCGCAAACTTCACTACACAACTGTGGGGTGGTGAGTCACAACACTACCGTTCATAGCTGCTTGCCAAACGCAATCGATGTTGCTTCTTTGGCGCCTCGTCCACGAGCTGGAACTGCCAAAGTGCACTTCGCGTAGCACACTGGAACAGAACATTTGCCCACATGGGGCCGTGCGAGCACCTGCAACATCACTCGCACTCGCGTAAGCGCACTTTACGTTGGTCCCTTTGTAGGCGCGCGCGCGCTCACCGGGCTCACACTGGCCTCACGGTCTGTGCAATGTTACACAATGCTTGCATTGGCTCGCGAGAAAGGAGCTGACACAGCGTTTCTGAATGTAGAAATACGCTGCGCAGGTGTCAGGCGTTGATTAGTGACAATGGCTGGTCCGCACGTTTGTGGAAGCGTGGTTGGTGCCAGTTCAGGCATTCAACACTTTTTTCAGTGAGACTGGTGCCGGCAAGCATGTGCCGCGTTGCGTGATGGTGGACCTCGAGCCGACTGTCGTCGATGAAGTGCGCACCGGCACCTACCGTCAGCTCTTCCACCCAGAGCAGCTCATCTCTGGCAAGGAAGACGCCGCGAACAATTTCGTCCCACTGCCAAATTCAGCTTGCATTTGTGTTGTCGAATTTGTTGGTGTCATGTCATTTCCCCTCAAATAGAAACATCAACCATGGTTTCCACAAAAGGCGCGCGGGCACTACACCATCGGCAAGGAGATTGTCGATTTGGTCTTAGACCGAGCCTCGGCTGGAGTTGGCAGAGCTCGAAATTAGGTCTTCGCTTCACAGCAGTCCTGAATCCGGTCAACGTTTTAGCCACAAACTTTATTGTTTGGAAGGTCCTCTCTATTCAGCGTGGTTTCCGCCAAAATCAGCGATATGCATTTTGCAGCTCAGGAATCCGCAAGTTGGCCGATAACTGCACCGGATTGCAGGGTTTCTGCGTCTACAATGCCGTCGGCGGCGGCACAGGATCCGGTCTGGGCTGCTTGATGTTGGAGCGCTTGTCCGTGGACTATGGCAAAAAGAGCAAGATCTCCTTCACAGTTTGGTCTTGTCCACAGGTGGCGACTGCAGTGGTGGAACCATACAACACCGTTCTGTGCGTCCATTCTCTGCTCGAGCACACGGATGTGACAATCATGTACGTGCCTGGGCAGAAATATTTTAGTGGGCGCAACCATATATCACCGATAGGTCATGATAGGTCAGCTAAAACAGAATGGCCATGTTTTGCCTCCACCCTGTAAATGGTTGAGATTCAGAACGGTACATGTGGTGCAAACCGCTGCAGAACCATGCTATCGAAAGCTGAACGGTGTCATGTTCAAACAAGCGACGGACTTGACCGGACCTGGTCGTTGAGTGGTTTGTTGTATTGAAGGTGTTACGTTTGCCCTGGAAGTTGCGTTGTTTTGCATGTTCCATTTTTGTTTTTTGCGTTGGGAGCCGTTCGGAGCCAGGACAACGAGGCACTGTACGACATTTGTCGGAGGAACTTGGACATTGAGCGCCCGACCTACACGAATTTGAACAGGCTTATCGCTCAGATCATCAGCTCATTGACGGCGAGCCTGAGGTTCGACGGGGCTTTGAATGTGGACATCACCGAGTTCCAAACAAACCTTGCTTCTGGGTCGTGTCAATAATATGTCTGCATGTGTGTTAGATTTTAAATACTGTATTTGCCCTTTGCTAAATGATGTGTGTAGAAAAGCTAAGATACACTCCTAGGTTTAGGGTGGAATATTGAACCAAGGTTCCTTACCCAAGAATCCATTTCATGCTCACCTCCTTCGCGCCCGTGATCTCTGCCGAGAAGGCATACCATGAGCAGCTGTCTGTGGCTGAGATCACCATGTCCGTGTTCGAGCCTGCCTCGATGATGGTTACTTTGTTCGAAGCTAACCTTTCAATCCTTTGGGTTCTTGCTCATTTTTTGTCATCCAGGCTGGTTGTCCCGACTCCGTTGGACTAAGGTCAAGTGCGATCCTCGCCATGGCAAGTACATGGCTTGCTGCATGATGTGTCTCGGCCAGTCGGAAATCAATCTCAGTTGAATGTAGTGGTTCGCTTTTGTGTGTGTGTCTTGTTCCTGTGTGTCTGAATTTGCACATTGGTAGCCTAGGGTTAAGATTGTGTTAGTTCGCGCTACGGTAGGCATGTTCGCAGTCAAAATGGTCGGTGGAAGTTGTTTGATTGATCGCATGACATGCTGTAGTGCAGACGTTTGACGATAATCCATCACGGCGTCATTCAATTCAAAGCAACAAATGCATCAGGTACCGTGGGGATGTTGTACCAAAGGATGTGAATGCAGCGGTTGCCACCATCAAGACCAAGCGCACCATCCAGTTTGTGGACTGGTGCCCCACTGGCTTCAAGTGCGGCATCAACTATCAGCCTCCTACGGTGGTGCCTGGTGGTGATTTGGCCAAGGTCATGCGTGCCTGCTGTATGATTTCCAACAGCACGGCTATCGCAGAAGTCTTCTCCCGCATTGACCACAAGTTCGACCTGATGTACAGCAAGATCCTCGTCATACATGTAGACGACCTCGCTCCAAGTCAAACATGACGGGTATCAAGACATGTATGCATATGTCAGTAGAAGTGGAAGATACATTTAAGTAGCTGTTGTTGTTCGATTGCGGGGTGGATGACTCACGAGATGATTCTAGCTCCTGCAGCACGTGTTTCCCGTGTGATTCATCAGCTTTGTCACACGGGTCCCATCCCTTCCCCTTGAACCCACTTTAAACATCATGTGTTGGGGAAGGTTTAAATGCGATGTTTATGCGCGAGGGATTGTGGAAGGGAATTTACATTGTACCTAGTGCGATAAGTTTATTCTTGTGATCCATCGTTGTCTAGATAATGCTGCATCAGACGCTTTTTGCCGACCGCGGGCTTGCATTTCTAGTTTGGGATTGTTGTGTACTGCCTTAGTTCACGTGCGTCCTTCCGCACGAGCCATGAGAGCATTGCCTTGGCATGTCAACACGGGCCTATCTCATCTCCTGCTACATTCCAGCAGCACAGGAAATTGTACGCTCGTCCAGCTTTAGTGAAAGGTCTCTTGTTATTTGCGTGTCCGAGCCAGCCAGTGCGGAGTGTCAATCAAGATGGGGCTAGCAAACATAGTTTCCGGCTGCTAAGGAAATGACATTTTATGAGGATGTGTTGATTTCATGGAGCACTTGGGTCTCGGCCCGCTCGGGCCCCTGAATTTGTGATTTGAATCTTCTGTCCCTCTCCGCCTTCAAACTTGACCGCATAAACTTTTAGAATAGTTTCACCAAAACACCTTTTGAGAGGTTCCCTAAGGCCCTATTTTGAGGCACACCTGTTTTCAGCGCTTTCGAGTGGATGTTGTGATCTGGGTGATGATGCCACTTGCAGTCATGCATCGGCGGGTCAAGGTTCCACCAGATCAAACTTGGAATGTCACAACCCAACACGGCGCGTAGCATCGGTATGTTTGAAAGAATTGCCTTGGGGCATAGACCCCCTTCTTGGAGGGTTTATGCCAATTTGCCGTGGGGAGCGGATTTGTGTCTTCCTGCGGAAGCATGCGCGGCACGCCCCATTGGAGCCTTTCATGTCAGGGATCGGTCTCGTTTCTCTTGTCACGTGGAACATGTTTTTTCGTGCCGCTTGTGGAAGTGAGTGACACTTGTCTTCCGATGGGAATCCTCTTTAAGGGTTGTTCTTATCTTCTGCAGTGGCGGGCTGAATCCGACTCTCAAAGGCGAGCCTTCGTCCACCACTATGTGGGGGAGGGCATGGAGGAGGGCGAGTTCTCCGAGGCCCGGGAGGATTTGGCAGCCCTGGAGAAGGAACCCCGGTTCTCCAGTGGCACCTGTTTTTGCCTTTTTTTTTCTTCTTTTTTTTCTGTTTTTGTTTCTTGCGAGCGGCGTATGAGACCCATTCTAGGCCTTTAAGTTCTTCTGGCTTTCTATGGGTAAGTTTGAACCAAAGAATAAGGACTACGAAGAGGTTGGCATCGAGACGGCCGAAGGGGAGGGCGAGGAGGAAGGCGCCGGGTGTTGGCTGCGTTTGCTTCGCGGTTTGGCCAATTTGCAGAGCCGAAGCAGTGGCGTGGTTTGCATGCCCAATTTGAGTGTGCACTTTGGTGGGTTGCAACTGAGTTGCAGTGGTGCAAGGTGCAATGGGCAAATTGTGATTATTGAATGTGTAGATTGTGCAATTCACGCAAACAACAAATAAACATGTATTCTTCCAGCCAGCCCAACATGTCAGGCTACGGCGATGAGTTCTAGGTCGACGCTGACTGAGCCCTTGGCCATTTTTGGAGTCTTGCCTTGCTTGCCGAGAAAGGTCAGCATGTGGCGGGATGAAAGTCCACTGTTGCTGGTCAATGCTATCATTCTCGAATCTTCGCTTGTACTTGCGGCAAGCGGAAAGCTGAGAGATCTCTTTGGTGTCGCTATCAAACCGGCAAACAGTGGCGCACTGAATTTGTGTTACTTGCCTTCCGGGGATCAATAATGCTTGACCCCTGGTGGAAGAGTGACATGCTGCGGTGGCTGTGAACAAGCGCAGGGTGACTGAGCATGGGCATTGTGCCGGCAGCAACCATGCCCGTTTGTTTCTCAGCCTATGCTACCTGGCACTTCATGCCTGACGCACCACTTGCTTTGGATCCTAACGATGTTAAATCGGCAAGTAACATTATACATTGTGTCAGACAGAACCTTGCAGTTGCCTCCATTTTTTGCTTTGTGCGAGATTGGCTCTGCAGAATGAGTGTTCTTCAATCGAGGATATTGACTCACGGTCAAACTTATTGCTGTTGTCCGTGTATGTGTTATGTTTTAGCCATGTCCAACCATTGGCAGGCAGATAGCTGAATTTCATTCATGGGGGGTCAGTCTGATCGGGAGTCATGCTCAAACGTGGCCCAATGGGACCATCTCGGTCAGGATTTGAAGATGGCCGCCCAGGAATGCACTGAGATGTTGCGCACCGCTTAAAATGACATCGTATAACCTTCGACCCCGCTTAACACACTCACCACCCTTCTTGAGGCGCCTTTCTTGCTGAAGGCACACCTTGGCCCAGTGCTCTCCAGTCGGCATCATCCCTGTCATCCCAGTCCTTGTGAGAAGGGCTGGGCTTCGGGGAGGGGATGGGCTGAGATCCAGGTCAGTAAGCTCTGTTTTCATTCATCAAGTGTATGGGTTTGTGGCAAACCAGGGGGACTGGCGCCCAGGATGGTGATTTTCCTGCTGGTGTGTCCCTTTAAACCAAGGTGACAGGTGCGCCCTCAAAGAAACGAACCCATACGAGTACGAATTACCATTGAGACTTTAGTTCCCTATTGAACATCATGGCCATGTATGGGTATGGGTCAAACTGAAACCACCAGGGGACCGCAGGTTTCGGTCCACGTTTCCACATACCAGGGTTCCATTTTTGGTACCTATTCATATGAGTCCTCTCGTTTGGCCAATTGAATTGCTTGATCCCTCAGGTCGTCACCTACGGAGCGGTGCTTGCCAGCTCGGAGAAAGGCAGACGGTGGCAGCAGGCGAGTTGCATCGGGCATAAGGTGGCCAGTTGGGCCTGGACGGGGAAACGAATGGGAGAGCAGCCTCAAACAAATGGTCGCTGGACATAAATCCCTATGGGGTTTTCTCAAAATAGTGCTCCCCATTCAGATGGTTGGTTCCCCTTTAACTAAAACTAAAAAGGGGGTTCCTTGTTTTGAGAAACTCCCCTGTACACAGAATGCCCAGGGATCCCACTGAACAAACATTCCCATCTGCTGGTGGGAGGTCTTATTTCAGAGATCGCGATGGTGCCAAAATTATTATGCACCAGCTGCAGTTGCAGCAGCGGCCGAAGAGCATCCAGTGTTCCGTGTACAAAGTGCAACAACTCCATGGTCAATTTCTGCCTTCGATGCTTTGGGACTACGTGACAGCTTTGAGCACAGGATCCGTGCGGTTGGGGTGCTCAATCACGCTGCTACGCAGATCTCTGGTGTAGCACAGCTATGAAAAGAACGCTGAAATGAAGTCATTGTGCGCCAAGCTCAATGTGCAGAGCTTTTTGCGCAAGGTCAACCTTTACAGTTTGACTTTGACGTGGAGACCCCGAAATCATCCTTGGGACTGCGTTTGTTGCTCGTGACCCCTCAGATCCTTGGCCCGATGGAGCCCTCAACAGGCCGCACAAATCACAATTGTGCAACGTCCAAAACCTCCGTCTACATGTTTATCAGGGACTATGTCATATCGACCCGTGGCGTAAGCAAAACCTGCACGGGCGTAAGGCAGTGTAAGCAACTGTCGAAAAAACATGTCGCGCAAGCATTCCGCGTAAGCTATTGTTCAGCCAGGTTGTTTGGAATATCCTATGTGTTTCTTCAGTCATGTTGTTTGTCATATCCATGTGTTTCTCATTAGTCATATGTGCTTGTTATATCTACCCATTGGGCCTTATAAAGCAATATTGTGCTTTGCTACTACACAAGGCAAAACTAGGGAATGTTTGGGCGTTTTCCGAGTAAGGCTTGCGTAAGCTTCGCGTAAGCCCTCGCGTAAGCCCCAGCTGCGTTTCTGAGTAGTAGCCTTGCCGGCTTTGCAAGGCCCTTCCTAGACCTGCCATTGTCCAGCTCTGCCGAGCTCATTGTCCAGCTCTGCCGCACGGCGCTGCCTTGCAAGGCAGCGCCATCGCGAGAAAGCAGGACCCCGCCAAACGAGAAGGATACTTGCAATTGGAGACGACGCTTCTACGATAAGCTCCGCTCTTGGGAGCTGGAAGGGCCCAAAGCCGGAGACGACAATGCGTTGACTCGCAACTTCGCTGCAGTGAAGCTGTTCTTCCTCCTCTTCATCTTCCTCCACGGCTCGTCATCTGCGTGAAAGGAACAAGTGCTCGCGTAAGCCGCTTCCACGGAATTGCATCCGGTCTCTCTGGCGTAAGGGCTGCGTAAGGCCTACTTGAAGCCCATGTGCCGCGTAAGCGAAAGCACGGTGCGCGTAAGGCTGCGTAAGGAAGCGGCGTAAGGAGAGGGATGCGACATAGGGAATCACGACACGTTTTGGACATGGCTCAATTGTTGACCACAAAATCGCAGGGCTCTCAGTGTGTCGTTTGTTGAGGGTGACACATTTAGGCTTGGCTACAGGGAAGGTGCGTTTTTGTTGTTTGCCTTTTTTCTTGTTTTTTGGGGGAGAGGCAAACCGTGCATGTTTACAGGCTCCTCCAAGACACATGGCTTGATGCGGCACCAAGACTGGACGAAACCGTTAAAAAGGGGGGTGCACTTCCATCTTGGTGGGCGAGTAACTAAGTGGATGGAAAACACATTGCACCAGTCGCTATGGATGAAACCCACCGGGATGAGCCGCCTGAATGTATGGTCAAGGAGTATCTCTAACAGTGGCCAATAGTCCCCGAGACCTTCGCCGGTCCTTCGCCCCACTGTTTGATCCGAACTGGACTTTCGTCAACCAAAATGTGTCTTTGGGTTTTGCACGCGGCTTTTCGGTTGCCTTTGCTTTTTCGCTTTGGAGTTTGAGACATGTTGGGTGTGTGTGTGTGTGTGTGCGCGCTTTTGTGGGGTTTTGATCCGCAGATCTCCACGTTTTGGGTCCGAGTGTGGCAGTCCTTGCAGCTGCTGGCGGTGATGTTGGGCCTGCGCATCGAGGCGACGAATGTGGCCCTGAACGCGGCCATCAGCAGCTCCCCGGTCAGCCGTGAGAAGTGTGAGTGTCTGTGTGTGTGTTTGTGTTTGTGCCTGTGAGTTTTTCAGGGTACCCTTTTGCGGGGCGCGTCTAAGTGACACTGAAGGAAAGCCAAAATCCACCTTTGGGGTCATAATTTGAATACCCTGTCAAACAAGCAATCCCAGGGCAGAGTATCGCAACACGTTAGACGATAGGCCAGCCAAGGCAATCCAAAAAACTAAATGATCCGATATAATTTTGAGGAACCGAACAATTGTTTCACGGCTAGTGGAAAGGATAGTATGCTGAAATGAGCGCCCAAAAACCAAAGGGTTGGTGAACAAGAAGATCTGACCTCTTCAGTGGCCAAACTTTGAATTGGTTGATATTGGTTGCCAAGTTTGAAGGTGTGAGTTTTAACGGGACATGGAATCTTCGCAGGACATGTCCAACCACTTATGCTTTGGTTGCCTTTCAACAATCTGTTTCGTCATGTTTGTCTAGGAGCAAGAGGCTGAATCCAAGCTATTGCTTCGGGGGGATTTCACGACCCTGAGTTAAGCAATTGACTTTCTTTGGTATGTTTTCTGGTTGCGGTGTTTTGCCTCGTGTTTTTTTCTCCGACGTTCATGTGTTTTCGACACGTGGACGGGACTCCAATGCGAACCACAACTCCCCGGCCAAGGCTGCGAGAAGGCTCGGCAGTGGCAGAGGGCGTTGGCCCTGCTGGCGGAGATGGACAGCAGGCTCTTGCGGAAGGCGCGGCAAAAGGCAAAACGGAAAACCCCCACGGCCCGTGTGGTCCCTTGGAGTTTCAACTCCAAGTGGAGCGCTTCGCCCTATTTGGTCCCTTGCAGTCTCTAAAGTGGACTGTTGTTGGTTCTTTAAAGGGAAATTCCAACAGGAAACAAGACATGCTTGTTTCCGGTTTTGAGAAACCCACCGAACAGCTGCCTCCAGACATCGTGACTATTTGTTGGCATTAACGTAGCTACTCCACGACCAACTTCTAGGTTCGGCCCTTGCAGTAATTAGAGGCCAAAGCCGCGCCAATGTTACTTGGCGTCAAATTGTTTTTCTCAGGCAATTTGAGGGATCTAACCGCCCAGCCTTTGGCAGCCGAAATGGGTACGGGTGCGTCTTGTTGGACCCGTTTTGGAGTGGTGGTAAGGGAAGGCCAAAGCGAAGCACACGATTTGGTTGGCGTCTATTTTAAGACACACCCGTATGTCAACTGCGAATTCATTGCATCGTGCGCCGGGTCTCCAAAGGTGGCAGGTTCTTTGGAGGCCACCAGTCCGTATGCTTGAGACACATTGGTCAGAGCAGTCAAAACACAGCGCACCGGGTATTCCAGGGTTTTGGGCTGCCACTTTCTGTGTTGGACCTCTGCTGGTTCATGTGTTTGTTGTTTTTTGTTTGTTTTTCTTCCGGGACCAAGTAGCCATAGGGCTGGGAAGCAAACCCTGAATGGCATTTCAGAAAGGGGCCCCAGCCGCCTTCTAGTGCAACGGCCCCTTTGCTGCGATTTCCCCTTGGGGCATCGTCAACTTTTTGGTTGCCAATGTGTCGGTTTACCCTCGCGACGACTAATCGTGGAGCCCAACAAAGGGGTTCCGCCAAAGCAGGTTCCGTAACATAAGATTTGGTTGGGGAAGCAATTCAATTGGGGTAATGCTTGATATTGGCCTCTTGTTGGCCGCTGGCCAGGTAAGGAAAAGGGGAATTGGAGGTCTAGCCTACTTGCATGTTGGGGAGGCCTTCGTTGGCTGCAAAAGGGCTTAAACCCGAGCGTTTGGCCCTTATGTCTGGTTGGGAAAATCATCAACCAGGCTGACAGTTCAATCTAAGCTGGGCAAGCTACCACACTTGGTCGTTGGACCTTGTTTTAGGATTGACAGGTACCCCCGAATGAAGGTACTACATTAATGTATATGGTTAGGTCATCCAGACAGAGCGGGCTCGCGTTTGGGTGGTTCTCCAAATAGAAGCGTTGGCACTATTCTTGTGCGAAACAAACATCCAAAAGGGGGGGCTCCCTAGTGAGACAGACCCACTAGTTCTTTGCCTCTCGATACCTAGCCTCATATTCACGGCTTCCCAAGTGGATCGACCAAAGGAGAACTTGTTCACAGGGCTTCGGGGGTCTCCCAGTCTCCCTTTGGCTGAATTGAGAGGTCTGAAGACTTCCGAACGAGCCTTGGGGCGTAAGTGGAGGCTACAGGCACCTCAAGAAAGACACAATAGGCGGTTTCGTAGCTAAATCCCCCTGACTGGAAATCATGAGGGCCCCCATGGTTTGATGTCATTCATTTATATACCCTTCAAAGGAAGTTGTGATACTTGTATACGCGGAGCCCCCCTCGATGGATCTGGACCCGCTCCTTATGCATGAATTAGGGCTTGGGAATGTAGGCAGAATAGGAGGGCCGGGACGCACAATGGTGGCTTTCCCTTTCGTTTCCAACCACAAAAGCTTCGAACAGGGTATTTGATCCCCCCTCGTCCCCCCCCCCCAACAAAAAAAAAACTAGAGGACGATTGGCCCGAAAGCATTGAACACCATGTGTGTGGAAGGGGCCACTGACACAAGTGTTACAGTTCGCTCCTCATTCACGCACGCACGCACAGACCCGCAAGAAGCGCAAACACAAACGCACACACACACACACACACACGCACGCACGCACGCACTCACGCACGCACGCACGCACGCACGCACGCACGCACGCACGCACGCACGCACGCACGCACGCACGCACGCACGCACGCACGCACACCCACACACACACACACACGCACGCACGCACGCACGCACGCACGCACGCACGCACGCACGCGCACGCACGCACGCACGCACGCACGCACGCACGCACGCACGCACGCACGCACGCACGCACGCACGCACGCACGCACGCACGCACGCACGCACGCACGCACGCACGCACGCACGCACGCACGCACGCACGCACGCACGCACGCACGCACGCACGCACGCACGCACGCACGCACGCACGCACGCACGCACGCACGCACGCACGCACCCACCCACACACACACACACACACACACACACACACACACCCGCGCGCGCGCGCCCACACACACACACACACAAACCAACAGAAAAATGCAACTGCGCGCACGCATGCACGCACATATGCACGCAACAGCTGCTTGGGCACGTGCCCTGCGCGCAAGTTGCTCTGCGCAAGTTGCTCTGCGCAAGTGCTTTGTGCAACTTGCTCTGTGCAAGTTGCGCTGCGCAAAGTGCTCTGTGCAAGCTGCGCAAGTTGCTCGGCGCAAGTTGCTCGGCGCAAGTTTTGCAGCTGGAGCTGCGGGAATGTACTCCGCGTACTACTTGGAGCTGCGGGAACGTACTCCGAGTACTACTCTTGTCCTTTCCTTCGCGATTTTGCAGCTGGAGGTGCGGGAATGTACTCCGCGTACTACTTTTGCACGTAAAATTTGCGACTTTCAGCTGGAGCTGCGTGGAATGTACTCCGCGTACTAAGAGCTGCCGCGGACCAGACCCGCGACCGCGCGCATCGGCAGCCGCGCAAACCACGAGACAATTGCCAAAGACCAATTCGCAAGCAAAAAAACGCAAAACAACCTCGAGTTTTTGCACCTCGACCACGCCGATCTCCGCAGAGGGTCGCATTCCCGATCGTCGGCAACATCCCCACCCCCCGCCTTAAAAGAGATTCTTAATACCGAGCTCTTTCTCTTTCTTTCCCGCGCGTTAAGTACTTAACCTAACTTACTTAACCTAGCTTACACAGCTGCTAACGCCGAGCCTCTACACCTAGCTTAGCTTAGCTCTATGCACCTAACTCTATGCACTTGGCTCTATGCACCTGGCTCGATGCACTTCGCTCTTTGCACTTGGCTCTGTGCACTTAGCTCTGTGCACTTGGCTCCTTGCACCTCGCTCTTTGCACTTCGCTCTGAGCACTTGGCTCTATGCGCTTGGCTCTTTGCACTTGGCTCTGCGCAAGTAACTCTATGCTGGTGACTCCATGCTGGTGCCTCTGTGCAAGTATCTCCATGCTGGTGACTCTGTGCAGGTATCTCCATGCTGGTATCTCCATGCTGGTGACTCTGTGCAAGTATCTCCATGCTGGTAACTCTGTGCAAGCTACTCTGTGCTAGTAACTCTGCGCGAGTATCTCCATGCTGGTGACTCTGTGCAAGCTACTCTGCGCAAGTTGACCAAGAGCTCCGCACGGAAGAACCCTTCGCAATGCTTTCCGGAAAAAGCAAAACAAGACACTCACAAACCACACACGCCAGACAAAGCACCACACAACACCACACAACACAACACGCAAGCAAACAAACTTTGTTTGCCCAATCCACTCACAAGTGAGGCTCGAGGCTCGGGTGTTTTCCCATGGGCCAGGACGTTATCAGCTACAATGCCGCACTGAGCGCTTGTGAGAAGTGCAGCGCCTTGGCGAAGTTGGAGTTTGTTTCTTTTTCTCGGCGCGGTCCACCTTCTTCTTTCTTCACAGGGAAGAGGCTCTGGGGTGGGCGCGGCAGGCTAGGGTTTTGGAATGGCTCCTAGGGGTTGAGAGGCTGGTGGGAATACCAGTCACAGAAGTGTGGATTTGTGGTTTGGGGGCTTTGGACACCTGGTCCTTGTGGGTAATCCCTACCCTCCGAAGCACCAAGAGGAAAGCTGAATGGAACCGGTTCCTGTTGAGGCCGGGTTGTTTTGAAACGGAAAGGAAGCCCTTGGGCCCGGTTTGGGGGAGGGGGGATGCTGCTAGTTGTTTTTGTCGGTGAGAGCTACAGGTTCCGACATGGCTGTCCTTTTATGGGAACCCTCGTTTGGTCGTTGGTGAGGGGAAAGAAGTGATACGAACCACCTGGAGTCCCGGATGTGGAGATGCCCAAATGGAAAGCTGCAAGTCTTTGCAAGATTCTCAAATGGGGTTTCTCCCCCGTATTAGTCAACCATGGGTCCGGTTAATTCATCCTAGGTGGCCATTACGGGTACGAAAACGGAACCTGGAATATCCACACACACAAGCACAAGCACATGCACACACACACACCCACACAAACACGCTACGTCAAGGCCTGGTCAGGGGGAGGTGGTGACAACCCAGGACTTCTCAAGTGCGAAGTTGTTCAACGAGGCGGATATTGCCAACAACTAGATGGGTCTGCCAGTTCCAGGAGGGTTCCGAAGAAAACATCGGAGATGGTTCAGCCACGAAGAGCAGTCAGAGGTTCCTGATTTTTGCTTAAAGGGTTCCCCATAACCCTGAAGTTTTAAAAGTTGGGGAATTTCAAAGTGGAGGGTTTCCTTTTGGTTTTACTTTGGTTTCCCGTTAGAACCATAAAAGGGAGACTACCCTCAAAACAGACACACACACACACACACCTACACCTAGGCCGCTGGCAAGCGCAGCTGGTGCTGCTGCATACCATGAGAAGTGTCTCTGTGGCCTTCGATAGTTTCAGTCTCAACGCGGCATTGCTGTGCTGCCGTGGGACAGGAAGGCGAGGGCTGCAAAATGCTGAGAGCGACTGACGTTGTTCGAATAAAGGGCTGGCGAGATAATCGCGAAAGTCCATGAACATCCACATGGCTGATGAATAAATCAAGAATCCTTACACCCAGCAAATGTTTTTTTGCGTGTGTGTTGTCCATCACGAGGCCGAGAACCTTGACGTAGGAATAATCGGGGCTCTCCGAACGTTGAAGCAATGACCAAACAATAGACATCTGTGGATCTTCCGGCCTGGACCCCCTCAAAAGGCAAGTTTGACCTCTTTTGTGTCAAGTTGAAGCATCAATTCGGACGCCATTTGTTAGTGAAGCGAAAACAGTCCCTAGGGAAGAGATGGATCGGCATGTATTTTTGGGCATTGGACGTGGAAGGGGTTACTTTCTGCCTGCAAGATTGTGCCCCATTATTCCCGGCTTGTTTTGCTTCCCACAGCGTTAAACTCAGTTTTTTTCTGTGCTTGATTGGTGTATTGTGTGTTTGGTGCTCTCGCCTCTGTGAGTGTCATTCTTGTGTTGCGTACTTGCTTCATTGCTTGCTGACTTCTTTCTATTCCCGCAAATTGGGGGGCCTTTGGCTTTCTTCCTGAGTCAGGAAGTGGTTAGTCGCTATTACAAATGAGCTCTACTTGGGGGCACTAATTGAGTCGAGCTCCCCTTGTGGTAAAGCGAGCTGTCCTAAAACGAAGGTTCTTCCTTATGGACCCCTGATATTAGGTTAGTGAGATACACCTCTAGGATGTTAAACCGTTCCAAGGGCTCAAGCACAGACCTGTGGCAAACCGTGGGTTCATAAGGGGTGCAAGCTTCCGCACGTGAGACATTTGAAGCCTCGTTCTGGCCTGAAACAGATATTATGCTTGTCTCTTGGGCTTGGCGATATCTGGCCATGGGTCAAAAGCACGCACCTGCAGTGAACATCCCAATCCCCACAACAACAGGTTCTAAAATGGGTGGTGCACCTACCTCTCAATGGGATCCTGTTGGTTTTGACAACCACAGCCATCTAGTTAAAGATCGAGGCTCCAAGGACCCAAGGGGCCCGAAACGGACGCCTTTGTACGCCTTGGGCCATCCACGTGCGCACAGCGCGTGCTCCGCACTGCCAGGTGGCGCTTGGCAGTTGCCCTCTTCCTGGAGTTGGCTGGTGCCGGCGACGCCTTGTCCTGGGACACCTGGTACAATGCTTGACTGCTATTGGGTTGGATCTTTGGACTTTGACTTTTTGGGAAATAAAGGTGTTTTGCACTAAACCCCCCAAAAGTCAAACTTTTTGCAGGGGGGTCAAGAGCAACCAATAATGGGTGCAAGTTGTTTTGAGGGCACCCTTTCCACCTTGGTGTGAAGAGAATGACAACCAGAACTGTTGGGGGCCGTCCTATTTTTGTCACATACCCAAATAACCCTGCGGCAAAGACAGACACATATTATGCTTTGGATGCAGAACTATAAGAGTTAAACAAGAACAGCAACAACAACATGACCTGGACGGGACGGTTCGAGCTGCAAATATGTATTCTCATACTACACTTGTAGTCTGAATGGTTGTAAGTTGTACTGTTCGAGCTAGACCATGTTACACGTTTGAAGATTTGATATATGTCGCGCCTGGTTTAATATCTGTAGCCTGAATTATGTCAAGTTTCCTCGGCTTAAACACGACTCCCGAGTGTTTCGCCACCATGATTTATGTCAAAAAAAATGCCATAAAAGAAACAAACAAGCATCCGGCAAACGAAAAGTGGGCCAAACAAGTCGGTCAAAAACAACGGGCAGGAATTCCTTTTTTGAAGCGGTCACCAAACCATCAAAATTAAGATAACATCTTCACACAAAAGTAGGGGCAAGCAGTCACACAAAGGGCGCTCGCTGCCCACAAGAGGCCCTGATTCTGATAAATGTCACTGTTTTGGGGGTCACTGTAGTGTCCAACTTTTGTGAGGGGGTTACTCACACTCCAAAATTGAAGCTTCACCCAACCAAGCTCTTCCCAGCTCAAGGGGGAAGGGCCTTTGAGCCAATGCCCAAGTTTATTTATGCGGCGCTTCTTTATTACAAACCGAGCTCACACAGTCGCACAAAGGGGGGTGCCCACGGGAGCCAGTGATCCTACTGCTTAATATGACTGTTTGGGGGTATTCTTTAATGTCAAGCTTTTTTGGAATCTGGCAACACTAAACTTAGACTCGGCAATACTAAACAAAGCACTGGGAATCTGAAAGTAAGTCCTGGCAATACTAAATTTAGACTAGGCAATATTCAACCAGGTTCTGGCAATGCTCTACTTAGTGGGTGCAATCCAACAGGAAGCGCTGGCAATACTAAACTATTGGCAATTCTTTATTGCAATACTTAAGCTCCCTGGACCTTTCAAGAGCCCCGACTGTTTCAACTCTGGGGAATAAACAAGGTCCAACATTATACGACTTTCGGCTGCCAGCCATTCAGCTCAGCCCACAAACCTTGTAGACTCCTTTATCATGATATGAGGGCTCGCCTTTTTGGTGGCCCCCATTTAGATACAAACCCAATCGCGGAGCACGCGCAGATTGGTTTCACACCCGACTCTGACTGACTGATGTGTGTCTTGCTTCCGACTTGTGATTGTAAAGCAGAACACTGCTGGAATCGGTGCTTGCTTGGTGAATAGTTTGAATACAGGATTTGTTTGTTCGGCTCGGAGGAAGGAACTACAGCAAGAAAGAATGGATAGAAGCAATTTGGGGTTTGGCTTTGCCCTGGGGTTCAATCCACAATTAAAACAACGGGGGGTTCATAAAACCACCCTTGTTTACCTAAGGATTGTCACCATCTAATTTGGGTCCACCATTCTTTTAAGGGGGGTTGAACCCTGCTGTGGATGGACAAAATCCTGGGCCCTAGAGGGATGATTCCCCTATAAGTACCAACGAACCATGGTTTCCCATGTTTTCCAAGCGGTGCGAAATGGATTTTGTCCATCCACAGTTGGGTTGGGTCAACGATTCTTTTCATGGGGGTTGAACCCTAGGGGGTCAACCATACAATTAAAACCACAGGGGTTAAACCCTAGGGTTTGCTTTCTTTCCTAAGGACATTGCCGTGGGCAGCTGCGAAGCCAGCGCCGCTGCCCTGGCGGCGCGGACGTTGCTGGGGGCTGCAGAGGCGGAGACCCAGCGGGGTCTCCCGCGCTTCTTGCGGGAGGCGTGCGGTGTCGTGCGGTGAGATGGTTCGATAAGCAGGGAATGACCGTTTTTTTTTTTTTTAATATTATTATTTTGAGCAATAGGGAATTCATGGACCGGGTTCCTTGCTCAAACCTATCACAGGCCAGCTCATCCAAAGTGACCAGCAACTTTTCTGGTTCGATAGGCAGGGAATGAGGGAATGAATCTTGCCTTTACCCAGGGCCAAACATAGTCGCTGAGATGGCAATTTTGGGAATCATCAAGTTTTTTTGGAATTCCAAAAGAAGCTCAAAGCCTTTTTGGGAATGTTGCATGTACTGGAGTTTTGTGCCAGACATAGTTGCTAAGACCTTTTGGGAAGTTTGGGGAGTTTGAGAGTGTTGGAAATTCTCGAGAATTTGTTGGAATCTTGCATTTACTGGGGATTTTGTGGAAATTTGGGGGAATTCCAAAACAGCTCGAGATTTCTTGGGAATCCTGTATTTACTGAGTGCTGGTTTTGGAAATTGAGGAAACCCCAAAAAAGTATCGAGATTTTTTGAGTTTTGCCTAGCACAGAAAGACTCAACAATATACCAACAGGAATTGTCTTTTTCAAGGACTTGGAACAACTCAGCGCTCACAGCAGTGCTTCCAGCATTATACTGGTGAAGATTGGCAAGGAATAATTATGAACAAATGTTTGTTTTATCTTGGTTTTATTTGTACTTGCATTTGATGAGACTTGTTAAGATAAAGGAGATGACAAGAGATGGCATGTTGTTTTCTTCAACCAATATATTTTTACCGGACAACTCCTCAATCATATGCAGTGTTTATAGGTGAGTCTCTGAGTCTCTAAGTCTATGCGCGCGCAATGTCGTTCCTTCGTCCGTCATTAACCTCTAGAACTCCGCAGACAGCTTATGACGGTAAGTCCCAGAGCCACATGAGCTCGGGAGTGCCTGTCGCTATGAAAGACTCACGATGGAACGGTCCAAATGATAGACAAATAAGATAATGTCCTTTCCCTTCATCTTGCCTCCATTCCTTCTCCTAGCTCCTGCCGTCACTCCGGGTCCAGAATGTAACCAAAGTGAACGACTTCAGCAGGTTGGGTGAAGGAGGAGGATGGGGAACGGCCAATCTCTTCACCCACCTACCTCTTTATCCCTTTTTCCTTCCTTCATCTCCCACCCATCACTTCACCACCAGTATAATGCTTTAATTGACTGGGGAGTGATGGGGTGGTGAAGGAAGGTGAGGTGGTGGCATGTCACACGGCTGTAGCTAGGAGAACCTGATGTAGGGGTGGGAAGCAGTGAGCCTCTTCCTTCTCTGTACCGCTCATGTCTATTTACCTAACACCGACCGGATTCAATCCAAGAGTTGGGACGAGCGTGATGGGGCAAGAGATAGAAAGGAAAGGAACAGGAGGGCGCGGGAGAAGGTAATCAGTGTCTCATCTTTGCAAGCCTTTCAATTCCTTTCCTCTTTCCCCACCGCTCACATCCGTGCTAAATCGCATGTCATCTGTCTCTTCCTTGTCTCGCCTCGAATCATTTGGCGAGTCTTGGAAGAGCCACGCCTCATGAATCATATTAGAATGATCCTAACACTTTGTTTTCTGGAATTGGGAACAGCATTTATGGATTATGTTTTGCTGAATGGACAAGCGAGTTTTTGGGGAGTTGCAGCAATTACAAACTTAGTATCTCGCATTCCATATTTAGTAGAATGGCTTTCTGGAGGACATGATGTTTGCAATCCAACATTGAAGAGGTTCTGCGTTTTCAACTTCTAGTCCATTTCTCCTTTGTGGTGTTCTTTTTTATCATATGTTTAATCTACATTTCCTTTCTTCTTAAACCCCTAGCAGGAATTCCACGAACAATAAAGTAGCTTTCCTTCATTATTAGCAAAGGTTTCTATGGACAGATATTAATTCTCTATCTATATCTTCAAATTTCGCCGGGTTCTCTTCTTTCTCACACCCAGATAATGCATCAGCAGCATGTGGATTATTAACTCCTTTGCATATAGTACCTGAGTGGCATTTCTAATGCCAATTTGCTGTGTTAAAAGCTGTGCCAAGTAAGAATACAGGGTTCATTATCTTAGTTACTTCTATCTTCATCTTGCTTTCTTTATGAGAGGTCTCTCACCTTCATTCTGTTGTATAATTACTGTTTACATCTAGTAGATTTGCTGGTTTAGATATGTGCTTTTGGTCTCTGAATCATTTTGCTTTTGTTTGGATAGGTGGTCAATCACCTGTAGACAACTTTGTATAGGGATTGCCCGTGCGCCGCTGCCTGCGGCCTTCTCGTCAACCGATACCGAGGAGAAAAACCAACACGAACCGATACGACGATATACGGGTACACATGTTTAATACGGGTAATGCCGAGTTTTACTTCCACATGGCATTCAATGTGTTTAACGCAGGCTCATTCAACACGATTTTCACTGCACTGGTTCCAATAGGACCGAACCAGAAAAGTCATTTACTTTTTGTCGGTGGTCCATGAACCAAAAAAACCTGCGGTGCGACCGGGCTACCATCCCTTGGCATGTTCCTTGGGAGGGTTTTGAGCTGGTGTGAAGGTTGCAAAGCAATTGCTGGTTTCTTTGATAGCCTGATTGATGCACCGGCCCCGTTGCGATGATGTGTCCTGGGAAAATGTAAATTGCGACCTGAAGACGTCGGTTTGCAAATTTCGGGATCCTGGGGAGCTCGGATGTAGGTTCCTTAGGCTCCATTGTTGGCCCCTGATTAATGTACAGCCACGGTCATTATTGAATGGGGTATCGGTTGCCCCGCCACCAACATGGTCCCTGAGGACAGCGCCTGGTCCAATTTCCCGTGATAGAGCCCCCTGTCAGTTGCTATGTTTCTGGAAAGGGATCTTCAAGACATGGAGCGATTCGAACACGAAGTTGCGAACGTGGTCGCCCGGACGGAGAGACGAGACATGTGATGCTGCAGGCTTATGATGTCTAGACCCAGAAACGAATTCGCATTTTTGTTTTATTCAACTTGATGTGTAAGAGGTCCAATGGGGCGTGGCTGGGCGCCGTGAAAGCACCCAGCCCTGTGAGTGCAGGAACACCGATAACACCCCGGGCTGCCGAGTGCAACTCTTCTCGAATCGTGAGCGCCAGTCATGGGAGATATGGGAGAAAGAGGGGCGAGCAGCGTGCCTGGAGCGGGATGTCCAGTGTGATCCAAGGGACTTCTGAGGTCGTTGCTTGTTGCGAACTTGCAGAAGCGAAGTGGAAAAAGTTGAGTTGTGAAGCAGGAAGTGTTTTTTTTCCTATAGTTTCGCCCTGGTTTCGGAGGTCGCCACCTTGTTTGAGTGTGTGAGCGCAGAGTATTCGGTGAGTGGCTGCTTGCTAGAGCAGCACTTCTTCGAGGGTTAAAGTTTGGACCAGGAATAGCTTCTCCGCTTGCGTTCAACAGTGACGGAGGGTAGGGGCAATAAAGCCAGGTTATTCTTCAGGGATCAATTATTCAGGGAGTCTGCTGAATGAATGGCCCGGGGCGAGTTGCCCTTCTCAAGTGACTGAAGTGTGTGAACTATGCGGCTGTATTTGTTTTGGGTGGACATCTTCTTTTGAATGGTTTAAACCATCTTTAGTCGTTGGTTCCCAGTAGTTTCCTATTAACGCTCAAAAGAACCGCGTCCACTTGGGCTGCAGGATATCCTCCAAGTGGCTCACTTCTGTAGATGTCCCGACCCAAAACTCCCTTGTCTTTTACGCACCCCAGATTCTGGGAAGATAGCGTTACCAAATCCCTCGGACCTTCGAACGCTCACTGTCAGCTGCGTTCTGTAATAAACAGCAATTCAGACTGTTGGGCCAATCCACTCAGGAAGTGAGCTTAAAATCATTCCTTAGACCAGTCCCCATGGCCAGCGCGCTGGGGTCAATCATGGAGTGGCATGACAAGCTAAAAGCGGGTACTCAGTTGTCGTTCCAATTCGGTTTTGCTGAGCATTTCTGTCTGACTGGGCAACTGGGCTTGCTGCTAGGCGATATGA